TGTTTTCTTATGCGGGCCTCGTGTTCACTTTTAAATTGAAGGACGTATTCTTCAATTTTCTGAGCAAACACTATTTCACTGTCTAACCTTTGTTTGAGGTTATCAGCTTTCTCAACAGCTGCATAGAATGATTCTTTCAGCAAAATTGCAATTTTAGCCAGCTTTTCATAACTTGACTTTGTGATTTCTGTAGAGGTCACACTTTCTGCAACCTCCTTCAGATTGTCCAATAACTCTTTTGGGTTCATGCTCTCTGTCTGATTCATATATGGATGTAAGGACGCTGTCAGAAGCGCTAATGCATTCTCCAAGCAGTCCGCCATCCCTTTTGGGTCAAAGTCTTTTTCTAACACACCTGTCATGTTTTTCACTGTGTAGCAATTTATCTGTTTAAAACAGTTGCAAGCTTCAGATATTTTACAGGTAAATATTTGTATTCAAGTCAATGAGTTTTCACACTATTTTAGCTTTTTGGGTTTACACAGAAGTACTGTTATAAGTCAACTTATTCAAATGTGGGTACCTTTCTCAGGTTTTACCCCAATTCATGAATATTTAAGTAAATGCTCTCTGGCAGTGTTACTTTTATGTGCTTATTTTTCAACAGATATCAGTTACCAAGCTCTTTTTAGTGTATTTTACTCTAAAGCACTGAATTTTTATAAACCTGCACTTTTCTAAAAAGTCTCACAGCAAATCAGTTTAAAGCGTTTTTTAAACCGTTCTGTTCCAGAAATTTGCTATTTTAACAGTTACTCATAGAACTAAGTTGTGAAAAGAAAAAGAAAAGTTGATGATGTATCAGGATTAATCAGTCCTTCCTCAGAAAAACTGTTATTCCTGTTGTCCTCCTGTCAGTGACTTCTATTTAAAATTAAATAGGAAGATTTATTTTTTAGGTGGCAACTTAAACAGAAAAGTTTCTTTTTCCTGATAAGTTTACTCTTATTTAGTGATTTTGCAATTAAACGTGTATTATCTTTCAAGCAAAATGAGTAAACTTTTCAACTCTGTGAATATTTGAACCGTTTCTATTTTTTTAAAAAGTTCCTAACTTTATTTTGTACCTTTATAAGGGATTACCAGTGAATAAAGTCTCTTTGGTAAATGCTCTTTGCATAAATACCTTTATAACTTTTAAAATGCAGGATAACAGTGATTATTCAGCTAGAGGAACGTATATTAACTCAAAAATGCCTTACAGAAAAATAACGTTTAATTTCACTCTTTAAACCTAAAACTGAAGTGAAACTGTGATTTAAAGTTTCTCCAGGAGGGTGTAGTGTTTAGCTTTCTACAAGCAGGAGTCTATGACGACTTCCTGTGACGTTCGGTTGACATCCTGTTGTTAGCCGCTTAGCTTAAAGTTAGCTTCGGCTAAACTCGGTCAAAATCAACATTTCTGAACGAATTTAAGCGTAAACGTGGCGTAGTTTCAACAAGCACGACTTTTTAGCATGAACATGAGTTTTCTGGGACAATATTGCAGCTTTATTTAGTGATTTTAAGCACAGCAAAGCTCATTTCCGACATGGAGGAAGTGACGTGACACGTCACTCATCCGGTCGTTAGCTGTTAGCTTAAAATTAGCATCGCTAGCGTTGTTCAAAAACATCATTTAATGACGGATTTTAAACTCTAACGTGGCAAAATTTCAGCGAGTATGCTTCGAAGAACTTAACCAGCGTATCAAAATACACTTTTAAAGCGCTTTTCAGCTTTAAAAAGCAGATTTTATTTCCCTATGAAAACGAATTTTCATTTCCGGGTCACGTGACTGAAATCACCAATGACAGAGCAGCGCAGGGTTGAGAGGAAATGACGTAGCCACGTCAGTCACTTCTCAGCGAATCAGAGCGCTCCACAACAGCAATCTTCAACCAATCACGAAACGTTAAAGCAACTAGCATGCTAGATTAGCATAAAATCAGTTCGTCACTTTTTCGTCTTTTAAACTGTCAAAATGCACTTTTTCTGTTAAAAAATGTAACGAATCAACTCTGAGCTTAGCTGAGACTTCGTCCAGTCTTTAAAACGTTTATCCATCTATTCAAAATACTCGTTCAAACTTAATAGAACCGAACCGGACCACAGCCGGGTCTTTCAGCAGAACCTCCGTACTTTTAAACAGAATAACGTTTTCCACAGCTCATAAGCTTAGCTACACATAACAGACATACAATTTCAGCTTTCATAAAGACTTATGACACTATTTCAGCTTTCTGTGAGCTCCCAAGCTTCACAGACCAACACGCTTAAAAACATGCAGCGTTTTGACTTCAAAGCGGCGCAGCTTCAGCGCGTTTCAGCACAGCTGTTAAACTGTTACCTTTCTTTATGCCAACATTTAAAAAATCAATCTTTACACGAAATACACAGTTATTTATGAGCACGTTACGGGCCACCAACTGTAGTATGTCATATATGGATATATATTCATACTTTTTCACGAGTTCCTCATCTTTCTGACTGTGTAAATGTCGTGCATTGAATTTAACAAAAATGTAACGAGAGACGTTATTTATCTTTGACCCATCAAATGAATGCGGTCATTTATTTTCAGAATCAAAGTTTAACATCAAACATTTACATTAATTTGGCAAAATAAGAAAATAATAACAGACAAGTTTCACAGATAATGGACTTCAATCACACGGCGGTGATCGAGGACTTTGCTTCAGATATTTCTAAAATATCTGTACTGATTTTAAGAGAAAGCAGAGTTTAAGATGGAAATGGAGATTTATCTTACAGAGAGATTTGTGAGGGAATTAATCTGTTTGACCAGAAACGTGCACGCTCCATCAGATCTCAGCTTGCCCACGGTACACTTGGTCGAAAATAGAACCTTCTACCTGGTTGATGATAAAATCAGCGTCGGCGTAGGGTTCCTTTCTGACTCTTTCAGCGTCTCCGTGAGAACTGCCAAACCCTTAGAGAGTCGTACGAGGTTATCCAAACAGAAATTATAATCCCAAAACGTCTCTGGATCATCCTGAATGCGTTTGCATCCAAGAACTCTGAACTCCTTTCACCTCCTTAGCATTCTCTATCAGACTTCCGACATCAGACTCTGTGCACTCTCTCACTTTAACTCCATCACTCTTCAGCACTCTGTGTGGAACTCTCAGAGCTCTGCAGCATCAGACTCTCTTTAGCTCCATTAATCTTCAGCGTCTGGCTTCAGACTTCAGACTTTTTCGAACCGGGAAGTTGCCACATTTTAAATGAGTTGACTTCCGGGTCAATTTAGAGCTTTCTGATTCGTGGATGGGCCAGAATAGAGGTGTGTTTTGTGATGTAAGATGTTATTAAAAGTCAAGGATTGTTTTAGTGACAAACAGAAAGATTATTGTAGAACTTCAGACTTCGTGGAGTCTCACTCTTATTATCTTCTGAAAAAGTTTAAACATGACATTTCTTCTCAGTAAACATTTTAGTTGACCGAAGACGCGACCTTTAACATACTTACAAAACTTGCTTATTGCAGACAGAAAAATCAAGAAATGCATATTAACCTGATTTCTTCTTAGAATGAGGAATAAAAATCATTACTTACTGTTTATGTAAAATAAAAATGAGTAGTTCTCTTCAACCTGTAAACATTGAGTGAACCAACACAATTTGATTATCAAACATTTGTAAAATAGTAATGATCATAGAGGATTGTCTTTTCTACTTGATTAATTCAAGGAAGAAAGTCTCCAGATGGCTCAAACTGTATTTCTGGATGCAGATCAATGAAATAACAGTCTCTGTTCATCTGATCAGATTTGAGGTCAGATCAGGTTCACTACACATATATATACATATATATATACATATACAATATGTAGTATGACATATCCTGAGATATATTCATACATTAAACGGGTTCACTCATTTTTCTGGACTGTGTGATGTTCGTGCGTTGAATTCAACAGAAATGTAAACGTGAGACGTCATTTATCTTTGACCCATCAAAATGAATGCGGTCATTTATTTTACAGAATCAAAGTTTAACATCAAACATTTACATTAATTTGGCAAAATATGAAAACAACAACAAATAATTAATCAGTTTTACAACCAGGAAACCATACGGCCATGGTTTTCCGTTGCTTCACCACAGACATTAATGAAAACATCTGGATTAATTTTCTAAGCACGGAGTGAGAGTTTAAAGATGGAAAATTGAGATTTATCTTACAGAGAGATGTGTGAGGGAATTTATCTGTTTTAACCAGAACAGCACGCTCCATTGAAATCAGCTTGGCCAACGGTACGCTTGGTCGAAATAGAACTTTTACCTTGCAGACGATAGCTTCAGCGTCGGTGTAGAGCTCTTCTTTTGACTTTTTTCAGCGTCTCCGTGAGAACAGCTAAACCTTAGGAGTCGTGTGAGGTTATCCAAACAGAAGTTATAATTACCAAAATCGTCTCTGGTTCAGCTTGTTTGGTTTAGCAGCATCCATGAATGCCTGCGGTTGCATTCACGGACTCCCAAACTCCCTGCACTCTGGATTCCACAACTCTTGAACTCTTCTGGAACTCTCTGAACTCTTCTGGAACTCTCTGAACTCTAATGTTGAACTAGGAAGTTGCCACATTTAAACGGGCTCCACTTCCGGTTCGTTTGAGAGCCTCTGATTGGTGGATGGACCAGAACAGAGGTGTGGTTTGTGATGTAAGGTGTTATGGAAAGTCAAGGATAGAGATTAAGATTGTTTAAGAACAGACAGAAAGATTGTTGGAGAAAACCAGTCTTAGTGGCGTCTCTACTCCTAGTATCTGCTGTGAAAGTTAAACATGACATTTCTTTTCAGTAAACTTCTTAGTTGACCGAAACCTGAACTCTAACACACTTACAAACTTGCTCACTTTCAAAGCAGACGATCAAGAAATTGAATCATTACTCTGTAATGTACTCTAACTTGATTTCACTTTGAATTGAGGAATAAAAATCATTACTACTGTTTAAGTAAATAAAAATGAGTAGTTCACTTCAACATGTAAACATTGTTTGAACTAACACAATTTGATTATCAAAACATTTGTAAAATAGTAATGATCATAGAGAATTGTCTTTTCCACTTGATTAATTCAAGACAGAAAGTCTCAGGATCGATCAACCTGTATTTCTGGATGCAGATCAATGAAATGACAGTTTCTGACCATATGATCCTAAGGTCACTGATTTGACATCAGGTCAAGTTCACTACATGTATATATATGTAAATGTATATATGTGTATATGTATATATATGTATATGTATATATGTGTATATGTATATATATGTATATGTATATATGTGTATATGTATATATGTGTATATATATATATGTATATGTATATATATGTATGTATATGTATATATGTACACAATTTCAATCCACCTCATGTACCACTTGATGCAAATGAAAAAGAACCTGGAACTTTGAACAGACTGGCTAATCATTAAAAGAGGCCCCAGCAGCACCCATAGAAGACCTCATAAAACACAACAATAAGCTTTCTCTGGTCCACTGGTCTTCGACCAAGACAACTGCCAGAGTGCTCCTCCTGAATCAGAGGGTCAAGAATTGGTTAGAGTGTCCCATCTAACAGCCTGGAGAAAACACTCCTGGGGAGGCTGAAATGTGTGATTTCTTGATAGCTACGCTACCAGTCTACCTTTGTACAAACAGGGACCCCCACCCTTGTCTGCTACTCCACAGGTGTACTTCTGCTTTCCTCAGACTATGCGAGAGTCATCATAAAATGTTTTTTTCTAATTTCCTTTGATTCTAGTGACATTTTATCTCCTTATCTCTTAGCTGTAAGTTCTACATTTATTTGATGACCTAAACATCAATATTTGATATCAGAGCATGACTGTTCATTTTATTAAGAATGTCAATATATTACCCGAAAAACCCTGATAGACAGTCACTGAAGCCTACTGACACTGATTAGTCAAGCACTTGTGTTTTTGAATCGTCACAGGAAGTCAACGCATCTAAACACCACGGAGGAAGTCTTTGATGGATCAAACCCAGCTTTCTAGAATCTTGAACACAGGTTCTCCACCTTGTACGCTCACCTTTGTCTGAGAGGACTCTGTTCAGGATATTGGAGAGGTGGGTCTTCTTTGCTCGGACCCCGGCACTCAGATACTCTCTGTCCAGCAGATCGAGGAAGAGACGAAGCTCAGACACCAGCTCCTCCATCGCTGCAGAACAAAAAACAGTCATGTTTTAAGGTTTTGTTTCAGAGCTGCAAACTTTGACTGAAAACTTTACATCTGCAGGTCTAGCATTCCACAAAGGAATGCATATCAGTCGCTGCCTTCGAGGTCTAGGTTTAAACTAAAATCATCTTATCCAGACAAATTATGAAATTTTTTGCTAATTTGGGCAAACTTTGATAGATAAATGCATGCTCACACACAGACGGGGCAAAAACATGATCACCTTTCAGCAGCAGATCATAAAACAATACAATAAACCCTCATTTATCACATTCCCAGCCCCCTGCAAAAAGTGAAAAACCACGTAGTAGGAATAGTAGTACAAGTAGTAGTAGTAGTAGTAGTAGTAGTAGTAGTAGTAGTAGTTTATTTTAGTATTTATGTATATATTAAGGCTTATAAACACTTCCCACACTCTAGAAACATTGTTTAGAATATTGCAAAACTCTAAACACTCTAAAAGAACACAGACTGTCATGATTTCAGCTCCCTGCCACTTGCCGCTCTCGGCCACCCCCCACTTCTCCGCTGCAATTGCTGGCAGGTGGCAGAGAGCAGAGATCATGAGACACTGCAGGACGGAGCTTCACTCTGCACCTGTGTGCAGCAGGTGTAAAAGAATTTAAAATAATTTATTTTAAATAAACAATCCATGCTGCTCATGTGTCTCATCCATCAATCAGCCAATTTGTATGTCATGTCATATTTCACTTCGAAAAATCGCAAAAAAGTGAGTCCGCTAAAGTCAAACCGCCAAGTAGTGAAGGACTACTGTATAGGCCTGTCACAATAACAAATTTTACTGGGCGGCTCACAAATTATTGCGATAAAAGATAATGTCGTTTGAAATTTGACAATAATTAGTAATTGTCAAATTTAAGAAGAAATGTTGGTTAATTTTGTGTGTAGTACCTTTTTTGACCACCGGATGGCAGTATAAGGCTGTTCGAATCGAAGGATGGATAGTGAGCGAGCGAGCAGCGCATCACTTTAAGAAAAATGGGAGGGAGGCCCCTTGACGTGACATGGGCTGTCTCTCTTAGGGATGTACCAATCCACTTTTTTTCACTTCCGATCCGATACAGATATCTGCTGTTTGGTGTCGATTGATACCGATTCGATGCCGATCCGATACAGAAAAAAACTGTGCTGAATTACCAAAAATGGCTAAATCATGTAATCTGTTTCAGAAACAGGTCCAGATGACATGATATAGCCATTTTTGTTGTTGTCTACCTGGATGTTTGAGCTTACATACCCAATGCTGATTAACTTAAAACATTTGTTTTGTTAAACGCAGACATGACTGTACTGAAATACAAATTTATTGAAAACTCTGCACCATAACAGCACACAAATGCCCCTTTTGCACTGCCCCTAATAAGCCCCAATTCTGGGAACCCTTTTGCATCAGCCCTTTAGCTAGTATATTTAGCTGATTTGAGGCTGATTCAGGACCTCTTTTCGTCCCTGCTTCGCTGGTGGAACCGAGCGAGTCCAGTCGAGCTGAGTCCGGACCGAAACGTGAATGCAGGACTCTGATTGGTCAGGGGGAGGAGTCACTGGATCTCAGAAACTTTTCACTGAGCCGCCATTTGCAATTTCTCTGGATGCGGAGCAGCGGCTGGATCTATTTTTAAGATTTTAAAAACAATAATGACAACGCCGTGTTTAATGCTGAAGTCCAGGTGTTTTTTGTGTTTGGTGACCTATGTAGATGAACAGATGCTCAGATATATTCATCAGTTAACGCGGATTCCTCATTTTTCTGAACTGAATAAAACGTGCATTGAATTTAATGAAATGCAAACGTGAGACGTCATTTATGTTTGACCCATCAAAATGAATGCGGTCATTTATTTACAGAATCAAAGTTTAACATCAAACATTTACATTAATTTGGCAAATTATGAAAATAACAACATAAGCAATCAATCAGGAAAAATCATACGGCCATGATTTTTCCGTTGCTTCACCACAGACATTTATGAAAACTGTACAATTATGATCTTTTACCCACACGGATGTGGATGAGCACTTTACACAGACATTTCTAAAATATCTGGAAGAATTTCTACTTGAGAGAAAAGTTTAAAGATGGGAAAGAAGTTTAAAGAAGAGTAAAAGATGGGGTTTGAGGGAGTATGTTAACAGAACGGCACTCTCTGGGCTTTCTTCAGCTTTTCTTACGGTACACTTCGGTGGTGAAATCGACTCTTTTACCTGGAGATGTCTCAGGCGAGATTCCGTTTAACGCACTCTTCAGCGTCTCCGTAGGATGCTGTTACTCCTCCGGAGTAGCGGCGAGACTGTCCGACACAAGCTCACCTCAGTGGAAAATGTTATAATCCCATGAACCTCGGAAGAGCTCTGTTGTCATGTCAGGATCTTCCCGGCCCCCAGAACTGGGCTTCTCTCACAGAACTGGTTGAACTGTGTATCCAACAGAGCCTCCAACAGCACTCCAGCAGAACTCCATCAGAACTGAGCAGAAACTGTCCCAGAACCGTCCCCCCTTTGAGTAGACCAGGAAGTACCGACATTTTAAAGAGCTGTTTTTCGGTTCATCTGGGAGTATTCCCATTGGCCAGAACCGACCAGACGGGGTGTGTTTTGTGACGTAAAAGGTTAGAAGACAGCAAGAATTGTTATGGGACAGATCAGAAATGTTCTCACAGACAGAGAGAGTTTTGTTTTGGCGCGTTTCAGAAACAGGTGCCAA